TCCTGACAACTGACTCCAGTCCTTGACCTTATGAAAAGATAATTTCAAAGCCAGAAAAACAGCGAAATCAAGATTTGGTGCATGCCCGCAACGAGTCAAAATGTTATTACGATGAAAAGCAGGCACCTCCTGCTTACACTGGCACATTTCTTCACATTGCGCCCTAGGTATCCTACAACAAAAACGTCTGCTTGCGTTTTCTCCAGCTTTTCAATCTTGAATTTTTCAAATGAACTACTACTGTTCCTAAATGGAGTCATTTTGTACGAAGGACCCACTTTTACAGTAAGAAATCCAGTGGACTCTGAAACGCGCCGTTTTCGATGCTCCATATTCCTTCCGAGCGAGTTCACTTTTCCATCGAGCCTGTTTTTCTCGTTCATATTTAGGCCATTCTGCAGACTCTGCGCAGTGCGTATTCCTTTCGAAAGCAGCGCTTTTTTGTCTTCCTGAAAAAAAAAACATTTGCAGAAATCCAATCTGCGAGCAAAATTGCTGCTGCAGACCACTGCTTGCATGAATTTTAAACAGACAACGAAAAAAAGATGTGTATTTGGCCAAACAAATCAGAAATAAGCAGTAGCTTACGGCAGACTGTGCTGCTTCAATTGCGTCATCTTTCTTCTCGTCATCTTTCAATGGCTGCTTCTTTTCATCAGTCTCATCCTTAACTTCTACAAATGATAATGGTCGAAATGTTGCGCCACATGCCGAACACATCAATACGATCACTAAAATATTACGCATTTATGAGAATCGATCTATCAATGAGATGGTAACAAACAGAATAAAACTTCAAGTCCATGTTTGGACAGGTAGAAGATTTACAGGTTACACGAGAGTTTTGTCAACGACTTAATGAACCAAAACATTCCTATCAACTCCAGTTTTTAATATAATTTTATATTTTCTGTATTCTTTAAAATATATCGAAATTGATATCTCCGCTCGTTTTACGTAACCGAAAGAAAATTTCAGAGAGGAATGACAATAAGAGTATGGATGCGGGGAGGGGAGGGGGGAAGGAGAGGGGGAATGGGAATAAGAAATATCAAAAGTTGAGTCAGAAATGATCTGAATGTTGATTACAAGTCTGCAATCTCATGTACGACTGGCATTTCAAGGCTGTAGGTGGTTTTAGCTGCACAATTTGTCCGGAAAGTTGGAAAGAAGCCAGGTTGTCAGAATTACACTGGCACTAGAACGACAGTCGTATTACACCTGATGAGCGGAATTTGGTACGACACTTTCTTCGTCGCCGCCTTCTCCATAAGAATCTTAAAGCCAATCACTCAGGAGCACTGTGCATCGCTTGGGAAACTCATCCTCATCTGGCCGTGGTAGAAACGTTTGGACAAGGCAGAAAATCGGTAAAAGCTAGGATAAAACGATCTGAAAGTTGACTTCAGTTTTGAGGCCTCGTATGTGATCCTTCGTTCAATGAACTTCAGTATCCTAGTCCTCTCAGTTGCGCGATTCCAGAGAACTTACAGGCAGATATGGACTCGCCTTAAAACGTTTTAGTTCTGCATAAGTAATGCAAAACACACAGTGAAGAAAATCTGTGTTTTACCATTCT